GAACAAAACAGGTCCTGGGGGCCACGTCTGGGTTGTAGGGTGGCTGCGGAAGCGCTGGGATGCGGTCCCTGGTTAGGTGGCTGTAAAAAGAAAGGCGGTGTGAGCCCGTGCGTTGTCGTATCCGGAATAGCCGTCACAGCCGAGGTGCACACTGCTTGGATCCCCTTTGTCGTCTAAAAATGCTTGCCATTCATCGGCCTTTCTGACAAGGAAACTAAAAAGGTTCTAGGCCACGTCTGGGCTGTAGGGCGGCTGCGGAAGCGTTGCGATGTCGGCCTTGGTTAGGTGGGTGTGAAAAGAAATGCGGGGTGAGCCGATGCGTTGTCGTACCCGGAATAGCAGTGAGAGCCGTGGTGCACGCTTCTTGGATCCCCTCTGTCGTCTCAAAATGCTTGCCATTCATCGGCCTTTCTGGCAAGGAAACAAAAAAGGTCCTAGGCCACGTCTGGGCTGTAGGGCGGCTGCGGAAGCATTGGGATACGGTTCCTGGTTAGGTGGCTGTAAAAAGAAATGCGGTGTGAGCCCGTGTGTTGTCGTACCCGGAATAGCCTTGAGAGCCGAGGTGTGTGCTACTTGGATCCCCTCTATCGTGTCAAAATGCTTGCCTTTAATCGGCCTTTTCAGGCTGAACGACTGCTGAAGCATTGGGATGCGGGCTGTGATGTCCAGGAGGAACAAGTTCAAGGTGGACGGTGCCTCTGATGTGAAAAAAGACATTGCGTTTTCAATTTGAATTTGACCCATCATGGCCTTCATCAGCGATCTCATCCCGGCCTCCCAAAAAGGCTTGGTGCCACCGAAACTCACCACTCACAGGAGCACGTCGCGCGAAAATGTTTGTCCTTACTCTCCAGGTGCTCGGAGACATCTGACCAGCCGCTCTCGTTCGTCAGCTGGAAACGCCTTCTACCGAATCCAGTCGTTCCGCACATGCTCGTCTTAAATTCCAATGTTGTTGTTGTTGTTCTAACGGCAGAATTCTGCCGAGTTGACAGTCCTTGGCCGGATAAAAATCCGGGTCCGTTCCGGTTTTCGTAGACCCGGCTGTCGTGGGTTAAATTCCAATCGTAGGGTATGCTTTCGTCCATATTCTGAAAAGAAGCTTATTTTTCAGTTCGTCGACGGTCTCAGTTCCTTTATACCGAGTTGCTGATGACTGCTCTCAGAGACAAAAGTTATTGTCCGTTTCATTACCTACAACACTGTCATATAACTTATTTCTATAGGACTCGTAGTATCGCCAAAAATCGAGATAAACCATTCCTAACCCTTAAAAGTTGAGCCACACCCCTCCCGTAAATTATTTTCCTCTTAATGTTGTTGTTTTATCTCTTGTTTCCGATGGGTGTGGTGTGATAAAAGTGGCTCGAATTAAGTGTATTAGGAATTGTGGAAAAAAAAATTTTTTAAATATTAGTCACAAAACAATTTTTTTTTCTAATCTGAAAATTTTGGACTTCAATCATAAATAATTGCTCAAATATCTTAATGCCTTATTTTGTAATATAGAAAACATTAAAGCCACCATAAATGCTATATTTTCAACAAAACGGGCAAAAATTCACAAATTCCGCTATTCCTCACGCCCACACACCACCAAACGCTACAATTAACTGCCATTATTTTACTGAAATTAAAAAAATTGTATTAAACTGTATACTAACACTTTTGATTACAAAAACTGCTGTTGTTGCTGCAGGAAACCCCGCTCTGTAATTGTTGTGTTTTGTATGTTCTTTTGTAAATATTTTTACGTAATATATTTGTAGCATTAAATAATTTGATTTTTCGCTTTGAAATGGTTATAATTTTATTTTTAACAAAATTTGTATTGAATTTAAACTGGAAAATACAATACAATATATTTTCTATTTTCCATTTCCTCTCTTCCAATCTCCCCACACGCGCACGCGCACGCGCACACATACACCACAACCAACCACAAACTTAGGTGGCAAAGAATCCATTGGCTAGCTTGGCAGCGTTGGGTTTGGCTGGTATAACACCCACCAATACCGGTGGACTGAATCCCACAGGTTAGTTGTTGTGTTGTAGAAATATAGACTTTTTTCAAACTTTTTTGTATTAATAATGCGCACAAAATTTTACTTCCTAAAGCAGCTTTAGCCGCCTTAGCCGGCTCGCAACTACGTACAGCCAATACAAGTCGTACACAACAACAACAGCATGAAATGACCGTCTCTAATGACTTGATCGGCTGCATTATCGGAAAGGGTGGCACAAAAATTGCCGAAATACGTCAAATTTCCGGTGCAATGATACGCATTTCGAATTGTGAGGAACGCGAGGGCGGCAATACCGATCGTACAATCACGATTAGCGGCAATCCTGATTCGGTGGCATTGGCTCAATACTTAATCAACATGAGGTGAGTACCAACTTACACCGTTATAGGTGTCAACAACAAATTTGAATTAAAAAGAATATGTACAAAAGATAGTTTAGAAAAATTTAAAAAATTGAGAAAATGTGAAAAAAATATTTAAAAAATTTGATTAAAAAGAAAACTGAAATAAATAAATTTGTGCTAATTACATTTAAGTATGTATCTGCATTAACCTTTATTGTATACTCTATATATTATATATTCTATTCTTCTCGAAAATTCAAAACATATATATTTTGTCGAATTGAATTGCAAAATAATAAAGAATTTCAACAACAAAAACACAACATACATTGTACGCTGTTAATAATTATGACGTAATTGATTCACAAACACACGCACACACCGTTCGTTCAAACAATCAAAAACATTGATCTATCAATCAGTCAATTAAAATGCAAAATAAAAATGAAAAAACGTATCAAAACAAAGAAAATCGAAAATTTTCGTACTTTCACTATTTGAAATTAATGCTAAGTATACGCAAATTAACAAATATATATAATATGCGGTATAAGGAGGTTCTTTGATGATGATAAAAATTAAAAAGATAAAAACTAAAAAGCAAACAATATAAATATTATCCAAATGAAAAAGTAAATGCGTTCAAAAATGTCACAACTACATTGCAACTCTGTATTAGCAGGCAAACAAGTTTTTTTAACTATACTTTTGTTTTCACTAACTTTTACTACTAAAATGTGCGTAGCGCATGGCTGCCAAGCAGCCTTTGCCTAAACTTAAACTTTAGTAATCCTTTAGACTTAAGCCACTTCATGAGCGCCAAGCGCACAATAACAAACATAACCAAGGTCAAAGGTTAATTTGTGCTGCCCAAAAGAAAAATAGCACACGACTGTAGTAAAACGCTGGCCACCTTATTTATACATGTACTTAGACTCATAAAGAATTGTGTACCTGGCAGTACAACGCTGCGCGTAAATTAAACTAGTCTATAATTTTTGAAAAATATTGAAAACAACAACAACACAAGTATTTATATTACTTTCAAAACTCTTATAACTCAACATTGCAATAAAGAAAAGCAAAGATACTTTGTTACTTCTTGGTATGAACAACTTCTAACCACCACTTTCCCCCCCAGCACCATTTTCCCACCGAAAAAGCACAAGCAAAAAGTGAGAGAGAAAGATAATAACTTTGTTTTTAATTATATCAATTAATATATAATTTTTCCTTTAAGTTACGCACCAAATTAATGTCCACTAATTTTTCACCATTTTCTTTGAAACCAAAGAAAAWATGTTGACGTATATTTTCAATTTTGTTTTGAACCGTTTTAATGAAAAYCTTACTTAATTTAGCCTTTCATAACAGTAAAACACCAAAAAATATATACATATCTGTAAATATGAGCATACATTTTTTAAAAGCCCAGTCATCTCAAATCATAGCAACCTCACCCACAACCTCCCGCCCCGTTTGCGCATATCTTTTCAACAGTATTTACGCTGCTTATAGCAGTTCCAGAACAGTCAACCCAAAAAATCAACTTAGAAACCAGACACTAATATTTCATGCACCCAAAATCCATACAAAAACACTAGCGCTGCCTATACGCTACTAATTTCATCAATATAAGTAGTGTGTTATCCCCTCTCCCACACATAACCAACCACTGGGCGTATAACTTCTACCACCAACACCGACGCCCGCCACTTCAAACTCCTCCTAACCAAACAAATTAGTTGTAACCGAATAAACCCGGAAAATGCATTTTGTAAAATAAAAACTTGCGCTGACACCAAATGTTATCCAACACCATAAAGCAAATACTACTTGCCACTATTAAAATTTTGTATACCAATACTCCTACATATGTATATGTATGTATATAACATTAGAATATATGTATGTATGTAAGTAGAGCAGCACCCGTATCCCCACAGACATTTAATAAATAGAAAAATTCCGAAAACAATGTAAAATCGCTGCGGCGGCAGCAGTAGCAGCAACCGAGGCAACGCCGCGCTGCCACACAAGCACACATAAATCGTACGTCTCATACTTATACCATTTATGAATATTGTTGTTTGTACGTTGTTGCCACCCATGGGATCACGGCCGTGTATGCAAATCAACGTTCCATAAAGTAAAGTACATATCTATCATTTATAATCCATACCAGTATCAATAATGCCAATACGACCCCGAACCCGTCCCACGCCTGTCATTGACCACACCCAATATCGCCCGCTAAATACTCGTTAAAAACGAAAAGTATCCACAGAAATATAATAAGTCATACAGAAACATGAGCCCATTTGAATGCAGCAGCGTGTGTGGCATAAGAAATATATACATATATATGTAAAAATACATATATATGTCCAAATTAATAATTTTATATTCCTTTTTTTTCTAAACCGCAACGTTTGTATATCGTTAGGTTAATTTAAAATTTGTTTTCATTGTAGTTTGAGTACTTATAAGGAAGGGACGTAATCAATTATGTCGCTAAAATGTATATATTTTAGTTAAAGTTTGTTTCTAAGATCTATAGGTACCATAGATGTAGTTCTCAACCTAGTATCGAACAGTTTACCGACGAAAAAGGTATACCCTAAAAGTTTTGGGTAGTTAAAACGTTCAATATATAGTACATTGTGAGAGGTTCGAGTTCCGAACTATGACCTAAAGTGATAGATATAAATTTTGAAAGGTGCGAATCTCGAACTAGTATACAAATTCATATTCACTTCGGTCTATTTTTCATTCGAAAATATTTTTAAAATCCTTCAAACTTCATAAATAGCTCTCAACACTATGAAAAAGGATTAGATTGAGTTATGCTCAAAAATATCTACGAACATCGTGTAGTACACGAGTAATAAATGAGCAATATTCCCACCACAATTACATAGCTGTATACTATATTGATTGGGGCACCGATGGATTAGTATGTATTCTTTTAAATTTAGTTAATTATTAGAACAATTAACATTTGTGAAGATATACATAGTGTTTTATTAAAAACAACAAATTCTAGTGAGGAAACTGAAATTAATTTCAGTAAAGTACTGCCTTCACTCGCCACTTTGCAGTAAAATATTTTTAGTTTTTAATTAGTTGACTTTTATATTTTAATATTCCGCAGTTTCAGGCATTTCTTTATATCAACTCAGCGCTGCCACTGCATTCAAAAACAGCTTACTCAAAATCCCCCATTAAATTCCCTCAAACAAAAAAACATCACCGACCGCCGCCACCACCCACACACTTGTACCATTTTGAACGCCAAACCGCAAAAAAAAAATATATTTATAAATAACATTTGAAGAAACCTCCTTGTAAAACAAAAATCCAGCAAATTCCCTCCTTAACCCTAAACGCAAAAATATCATCAAATTCCAAATTTTTAAAAATGAAAAAAAAAAATAATATTTAAAAAAATGCAAAAACCAACTCAATTCCACAAAATCACCAAAAAAGAGTACAGTCATCACCTTTCAGTGAACAACTAAACCTTATCTCATCACCACATACAAACAATATCCTATTGTCCTTTTTTCTCTTTCTCTCTCTCTCTTTATCCCTTTTCCAGCGTTGAACTGCAAAAGGCTAACCTACAGGAGGTGAACAATGGCGGCGCCAACGGTCAAGCTAACAATGCTAGCAACAGCAACAACAACAACACCAATGTCAGTAATGGCAATGCCAATACGAACAACAGCAGCAGCAGCAACATCAGCAGCGGTGGTGGTAATCACATAAGCGGCACAACCACCTTGTGTGGCAACAACAGTGCTGGCAGTGGCGGCGGCGGCGGCAGCAACACCAGCAATGGCAGCTTGAATCAGAGCGGCGGCAGTAATAATAGTTTAAACAATTTAAACGCGAATACGAGCAATGCAAATAACAGCAATACCAACAACAACAATACACAACACTCAACCACAGGCATGACAATGACAAACAACACCAACAGCAGCAATAGCAACAGCAACAATACGAGCGGCAACAATTTAACCTTAAGCACAACTTCCAACAATCCAACCAATCCATTTTCCACTTCATTGCCATTTTCGAACACACCAAATCCATTTGCCAACTCCACCACAGTCAGTTCGCTAGCAACAGCTATACCGTTAGCACAATTGCTGGCCAAACCGGGCGCCTTGAATGCGCTCTCCAGCTTAACGGCGCTCGGCGGCCTTACCGATCTGTTGGGCGGCTTGGCCACACTCAATGGTCCACCCATACAGACGACCGGTGTGCATCGCACCAAAAGTTTCGCATCGACACGTTTTCGTAGTCACAATCATGCCGATGGCGGTGCTGATAGCGAAAAAACGCGCAACAAATTCAACCCATATTAGAGTAGTTGAGTATGTAGGCGTGAAAGTTTCGTGGTAGTGGTATGGAAGCTTTTTGAGATTGAAATGAAAGCATGTAAGCTTTTAGAATATAAAACGAGAGAAAGTTTTGAAATTTGGTAGATGTGATTTAAAAGCTTTTCTATGAAAGCTTTCAAATAATGTAGAAGTAAAAGCTTACAAATCATATGTATAGTAAGTGACATTTTTGAGATCATGTGGGCATGAAAGCTTTCAAATCATATGTAAGTGAAAGCGTAAAAGTCAAAAATAAATGAAAGCTTAGAAATCATGTGCAAATAAAAACTTTTATATTTTCTAAAATTGAGAGCTATCATATCATGTGTAAATGATATAATTTCTTGTATAAGTGAAAGCTTTAAAATCATGTTTAAATGGAAGATTTCAAATGATGTACAAGTGGAAGCTTTTGAATTACGTAAAAATGAAAGGTTGCAAATAATATACAAGTGAAAGCTTTTTTAACTCATATATAGGTGAAACTTTAAATAACAAAAAATGTAAGCTTTTCAAGTACAATTAGTTAGTTTACCAGCTTACGATACAAAGAAAAAGCAATGTAGGGTTCACAACAAATATAAAAGCTAAGACAAATTTGGCCTAAAGCTTCGAAAGTTAGCTTGC